ATCTCTGTATTTCCTTTAATTTTTGATCCAAAAACTTAATTGGGATCATCCAAAACAAAAAAATAATTTTTGGTAAAACACGGCTGCTTTCTAACATCTACCTCAGACATGTCAAACACAAGGCCCGAGGGCTGGATGCGGCCCGCGAAGTGGTTTTATGTGGCCCGCGAAGCCATCCTGGAAACAGTGAGGGAACGGCCTCTGCTGCCTTGGCCCTGGCCCAGGCCGGACGGACGGGAGCCAATGTACAATTTTGTGATGGCCATCTATGCTGAAACGCATTCAGTCTTAGCTCCACAAGGCCGTCTGGAAACAGCGAGGAACCAGCCCCTGCCGCGTCAGCCCCACCCTCTGGGTGCATGTTGGGGAGCTGTCACCCTTTGTGAGGAATGAAGAAATCCACCATTGCCTGGAAGCGGCCAGCAAATGGCCCTCGCCTACTCACATATCCGCCTTGATGGGCTCTGGGGGAAGGGTTTTGGCAGGCAGCGGGGCGCTCTCCTCACAGCGCTGAGAGGCTGAGCCGGGCGGCACAAATCCCAAAAGAAATGTGAGGCCGTCCAGCTCCCAGCCTGCCCGGTTTCAGCAGGCAGCGGGGCGCTCTCCTCACCGTGCCAAGAGCTGAACCAGGTGGCGGAAATCTGATGAAAAGTGCAGTGCTGCCTAGCCCCCAGCCTGCCCAGTTTCAGCAGGCAGCAAGGTGCAAAGCTGGCAAGCTTCGCACCGTCTGGCTCAACCTCTCAGCGCTATGAGGAAAGCGCCCCGCTACCTGCCGAAACTGGGCAGGCTGGGGGCTGGGCGGCATCACGCTTCTTTTCAGATTTGCGCCGCCTGGCTCAGCCTCTCGGCGCTGTGAGGAGAGTGCCTCGCTCCCTGCTGAAACGGGGCAGGCTGAGGGCTGGACGGTATTGCGCAGGTAACGTTGACTCTCATGCTGCTCATGGCATCCCCTCTCCCAGAGCCCACCAAGCCAGGTATGTGAAGTAGGTGAGGGCCATGTGCTGGCCACTTCCAGGCGATGGTGCATTTCTTCATTCCTCACGAAGGGTGACACCTCCCCAGCTGCGTTTCTTGCCTGTTTTTCTCCCTCCCTCATCTCAAATATTTTCCCACCACTCTGTACTTAGGAAGGAAGGAAGGAAAGGAGAGGGAGGGTCTGAGGGAAATCCTGCCTTAGTCCTGCCCTGCTGCCCTTTCACCATCCCCTTGCCCCCTCCTCCTGGCCTATCCTGGGGGTCTCCCATCCTATTGCTAAGGAAGCTTTGGATACAAAGCCGGGTCTCCTCCCACGGAGAGGAAATGGGCCTCCTTCTGACTTTGCCTTTATACCCATCATGAGCAACCTGGGTAAGGAGAGCAAGCACAGCAGCGGCAGCCTTCAGGAGGAGGTAAGTGCAGCTGGGCGCCCCCTTGGGCAAGTGGGGCTGGGCTTGGTGTCGCAGGTGCTCGAGGGCCAGGCTGGGCATTTGACCTCTGCTGTCCAGGGCTCCTGGCAGCCGGCAACATCGAGCCCCTCCCCTGCATGGCCTGAGAGGAACAGTGAGGCTCCTCCAGTGGCCCATACCTTGGCACTTGCCCTGGTCCCACCCTCTTCTGCCAGAGACCCTCAGATCTGTCCCACTCCTGCCCAGGCCCAGACACGCACCCTTGACGCGAACGATATAGAGCTGGCCATGCCCATCCAGTAGGCCACATCCACTCCATTCATGCCCACCATGTAGGCCGCACCCACCCTGGCAACACACCCCCGCCCCCCCGAGGGCAACCGCAATGCTGATGTGGCCCTCAATGAAATTGAGTTTGACCCCCCTGATCTACATGAAACCAGTAGAGGAGGCCATCCATCCTATGATACCCCGTTATGTACAGGTAGCCCTGGACTTATAACATTTCATTTAGCGGCCATTTGAAGTTACAACAGTGCTAAAAAAAAAGTGACATGACCATTTTTCACACTTACAACCATTGCAGCATACCCCTTGTCACGTGATCAAAATTATGACGCTTGGCAATTGACTCAGATTTGTGAGTTTCAGTGTCCTGGGGTCATGTGATCTCCTTGGAGATCCTCCTGGACTCATGGCTCCTGCCTGAGAAGATCATAGGTGGGGGAGGGGCTTTGCAGAGATTTATCTGGTGCGCCAACTGTGTCCTTTCCTAGACCAGGGAGGCCTTGCACAGGGCTCAATCATGCCTTGGTCACCTCCAGTTTGGATCACTGCCCTGGACCCCCCGGAAACCTCTAACTGGTTCAGAATGCCCCAACGCACAAATTAATGAGGGCCTCTAGGTTGCCCATATCACATCTTTGTGGTGTGAGCTGCCACAGGCGTTGTTTCTTTACAGGTGTAATTGAAGATGCACACATTTAAAGCTAATACACCATTAATTAATTAATACACCACCCCACTGTGCTTTATAACACTCTCGGCTCAGTGTCAGCATATTCTCCCCAACAATCTGGGTTCTCATTTTACCGATCTCAGAAGGATGGAGGGCTGAGTTAACTTCGAGCTCCCTCAGGATCGAATTCCAGGCTGTGGGCAGAGTCAGCCAGCAATACTGCATTCTCACCACTGAGCCAACAGGGCACCTGTTATTAATGTTCCACTTTATTATTTCTGCATCTATCTGTTCTACCAGGTCAGATAGGGTGAGCATGCACCTAGCCCCTTCCCTTAACTATTGACATCTTGACAGGAGCTAGGAAGTGAGCCTTTTCCGCTGCAGACCCTGCCCTATGAGACACTCTTCCCCCTGAAGTATGGCAGGCCATTATCTGTATTAAGGTTTTATTACTGCAAGCCGCCCACTCACCATAAATTGGGTTGGCATATACATTTCCTTAACAAATAATATATTTATGTGTAGAAATAGCTCAAGGTGGCAAACACACTTGATACAGATGCAAGCTCGCTTTTACTGTCCCAGCACAGCAGTTCCCCTTGACTCTGTGGAAGGGAAGGACCACACTGGGCCAGAGAAAGGAAGCTCAGATCTTCTCCCTCATGTTTGATACTAAAACACATTTGACTAAAAAGACTATGGCAAGAAATTAAAAGTTTAGTTTCTCAGCTGGGCTTCCAATTAGAGAAGAGAAATGAAATTCAACATTCCTCTACACTCATCAAATTTTGCCTGTGTAATTTCTTGTGTCTGAAAAAGGTAGTATGATATGTGAAACATTTTCCACAATCTGGGCATTTGAATAGTTTCTCTCCTGTGTGTAACCTTACATGATTTATAAGGCTGGTCCTACTACTGAGATCTTTCCCACAATCTGGACACTCATACGGCTTCTCTCCTGTGTGAGTCCTCTGGTGTATCACCAGCTGATAATTCCATCTGAAAATTTTCCCACAATCTACACACTTATGTGTTTTCTCTTCCATGTGAATCCTCTGGTGTTTCACCAGGTAGGAATTCTGACCGAAACATTTCCCACAATCACGACATTTATATGATTTCTCTTCTATGTGAGTAGACCGATGTTTCACCATGTCACCTTTCCAAGAGAAATCCTTTCCACAATCTGGGCACTCATATGGTTTGTCTCCTGTATGAGTCCTCTGATGACTAAACAGGGAGGAATAGGAAGTGAAACCTTTTCCACACTCTGGGCACTCATACGGCTTCTCTCCCGTGTGAATCCTCTGGTGTATCACTAGGCGGGATTTACGATTGAAACTTTTCCCACAATCCAGACACTTGAATGGTTTTATTCCTGTGTGAGTTCTCTCATGTACCACCAGGCTAGAATTCTCACGGAATCTTTTTCCACAATGTAGACACTCATACGGTTTCTCTCCTGTGTGAGTTCTCTGGTGTATCACCAGATTAGAATTCTGACTGAATCTTTTCCCACAATCCAGACACTTGAATGGTTTCTCTCCCGTGTGAGTCCTCTGGTGACTCAACAGGTGGGAATTCTGACTGAAACCTTTTCCACAATCAGGACACTCATATGGTTTCTCTCCCGTGTGAGTCCTCTGGTGAATCACCAACTTGCAATTGTGACTGAAACTTTTCCCACAATCTGGACACTCATATGGTTTCTCTCCCGTGTGAGTTCTCTGGTGTATCACCAGGTGGGAATTCTGACTGAAACTTTTCCCACAAACGGGACATTCAAAGCGTTTCTCCCCAGTATGAGTTCTCTTGTGTCTCACCAGATTGGTGTGCATGCTAAATCTTTTCCCACCCTGGGAGCACTGGTGGAGCTGCTCCTCCTGCATCGGTCCTTCTATGAATAATGGGAGTGCTGTTCTGAGTAAAGCTTTTGCCACAGTCCAAACATTTGCATGGGTTTTCAAGGGGTGGATGGACTCATGCAAAAATCAGGTGTGATCTGCAATCCATGTTTTTCCCAAAATAGGCAGTCGGTGGGATTTTTCTAACACTGATATTCTTGGATTCATGAGGTCGTCAAAAATATTTCTGATCCCTTGTCTGGTGGTGCTTTGATCCAAGACGCTCTCCTTCCTCAAACGCTTTCATTAATGCCTTTGTACTTTTTCATGCAATATTTTCTTGAGTTCCACATAATCTATTTTTTCTACCTGAAATCTCTGTTCCTGTTATTCTCTCCTTTGTCTCCCTCCAACTGTTAAGGAAAGAGAAGAGTTTTAACACTTTCTGGAGGAAATGGAACAGATTTTGATTGATGGTTTGATTTGCATTTTAACGCAGCTTCTCATTCTTTGTTGTCCGGAGTGCTCTTCTTGGCATCTTCTCTGATTATAAGATTCATATTAATGGATTAGTTTCATTATTTTTTAAAAAATGGCTGCTGAACCTGTGAAAACAGCAAAAAAAATCCATCTATCACTATGAAAAAGCAAATATATCAAAATGCTAATTTAACCTCTAAGATTCATTATGATTCATCAGGCACAGAGGAGACTAGCAAAATCAAACTTCAAGTATCCACTCATATTTCAAATCATGGAATTCGCTTCTTGGCTTGTGTAAATCACAAATTATTATCATTGCAAATAGTTGTTACAAAAAATACCTGAAAATACTGAGCTCTATACAGATGTATATGCACACGTAAATACACACCTATAAATTTATATATGTGGAAAATCTATGTGTATTTCGGACCTTCAAAATGTTTCAGAAGTGGATTCACTTAATTTGTTTGATCTAATTTTAGAAAGCTGGGACACTAACAGATGAAACAGTGCCCAAAGCCTATGCGAGATTTAAAGCACCTGTTTTACTCCCGAAAGTCCTCACTTGCCAGGAAAACATGTCAATAATATCACAAGGAATGAAGACCAAGAGAGGCAGGCTGTTAAAAAATATGAAATACAGATTTTTAAAATTCCCCAATTTTCCATCTCCCAGCAGAAAATCACAGGCAGCAGTTTTACATTGATAAATATGTATCAATATGATGAATCTTCAGAGTCAGTTAAACCTACAATACAATGGAATCTAATTGAATAGAAAAATAAGTACAATTGGTGGGAATCAGGAAAAGATAACATAAAGGAAGTAAGATAAACAGATAGGCAAAAATAGCTGGGTTTTAGAGTGGGAAAAGGAAGAAGAGAAACTATAAAAAAACAGCTGTAAGAGGAAATGGCTAGCCAGCAAAGACTTGTTGAATTGGAAAACAGGAAAATAAGCTGAATAAGATAAGAGGAAAGGCACACTGAATTGAAAAACAGGAAAGAACCTATTGTTCTAAAAGGGGGACATAAATATCCAGAGTTTAGAATAACCATTTAAATGTCTAATTTTTCTTATTATTATTGTACATGTGAATATGATTTAATATGTTATCAGGAAATGTGTATAAGCGGACGGAAAGAGTGTAACCTCATAATACCTCAGCCAATGGGGAAAGAGGAGGGATGCAGTGGCTATAAAAGAAGGAAATATTTTGGGTTAAAACTTTGAAGAGAACCAAGCTTAATACTAATACTAATACTAATACTAATAATAATAATAATAATATATTGCAATAAACGAAACAAAAGGCCTTCACTGTGTCTTGGCTGGCTATGGGTCAGGCGAGCTTGCCTCTGGTCACGAAGGAAAGTAGCCAGGAGCACCTAACAAAATCATGCAGCGTAAGGATAAGAACATTTGGGGAGGGAAATAATATGCAGCAGCAGCAACCGACACGTTTCAGCCTCGTCCCTTCGCTGCTTCCACACCGCGGAGGAAAAGAAACAGCCCGACTTGCTCCCGGCTTCTCCTCCGACCTGCCCTCCACTCACCTCCCAGGAGCCGCTTCCACCCTCGAATCTGCACAAGAGCATCCACCGACGCCATCCTCCTCCTATAAGGGAACCGGAAAAGGAGGTTCCTCTGCCCTTTCCCCAAAATCCTCTCTAGCAATCTAATCGTCTATCGTTCTAATTTGTTCCAGCTCAACCTCCCTCCCTCCCTCCCGTTCTCTCACAACCACCCATATTTCTTTTCCAAGCTCAGGAGAGGGCTGGAAGAGTCATTTCCCCCCTTCTGCACAGTTGGCTTCCTGGCCAGCTTCATACCTTCAACAGCAGTTTGTTGTGCATAATAAAATCATGAAAGGTTTTCCTGGCAGAGGAGTTCAAGGCATTGCTGCAGATTAAGATCTTTTCTAAGCACAGCTGAAGAGGGGAATGAAAGGCTGGCAGCCTGAAACTTCAACTCACCCTCTGCCTGCAGCTCTGACTTTGCCACCCGCAGAAAGGGCTGTGCAGGAGAAAGACACCTGGGCCCTTCTCGGTCTGGGTTCAGGCCGGGACACATCACCAAACCGGCATTGGTTGCAACTCTCATGGACTTTTGGAGGCCTCGGGATAGACGGGGTGCAACCATCATGTCCCTCCTAGATCTCTCATCAGCTTTCAGTACTGCATCACTGACCATGATAATTGATGGGATTTTATTGTGCTTAAGATTGATAGTAGTAGTTTTATTTTGTAACCATTTTATATTGATACTAGTAGTGATATTTTGTACTCATTTTATATATAATTTTGTTCATGTGCAAGCAGCTTTGTAGGTGCCTTATATTGGGAAATTGTTTACATAAAAGCAAATGTTTCGTGCTAAATATGTCTCTGTCTCCATAGCTGGTGTAGGATTCGTTGTCCAGTTATAATAAACAATCACAAGCCAAAATTTCCAAGGGAAAACAATGGAAATTTATTTGTACTCCTTTGCAAGGGTGGGTGGGTGCTGCTGCTTGTGCCTGCAAGCATACAGTGGACACAACCCAAATCTTCAATATTTGTTCTTTATATTCCCCCATTGCCATTACAAATTTACCTCCCGCCTCTTCTTCATTGGCTTATTAATCATGCTGTAATCATGTCATCACAACCTATCCAAAGCTTCTAAAATGAATATATTACCTTCCCCCCCCCATCACTTCTCCCATTCCCCTTATTCTATGGCCCCGGCCCTTATTTATGAATTACCTTTTATGGCTGTTACTTCCTAGGGGTTTTCTCTAAAGTTGGGCCTCTGGCAATCTGGGAGGCCCCTGGAGAAAAGCCTTACACTGCTGCTTTCTAACATCTACATGAAACCAGTAGGGGAGGCCATCCATCCTAT